CACACATTTAACAATATGATCATTAGCGCGGTGCGATGGAGGGAATGACTCCGCTGACGAGTTGGTTACCTGTGAATTCGGAGAAGGTAGTATAACTGCCTCTTGCGGAAGCACCAGCGAAGCCTGACATTCCTGAAGTAGAGGACTGGACTGAAGGGCTTGAATATGGCTTCTCTTCTTTCGGAATCATCTCGTAGATGTTCTCCAGCTCCCTCACGATTTCCAGCATCCGTGGACGTGCTTCTGGATTGTCCTGACAACATCTAATGGCTAATTCCATGAACCTCTTCACGCATTCCTCAGAGTACTGCCCCATGCTCCTGTCTATCACCGACATCATCATCCCAGCTTCGCACGCTTCATTCACCTCCCGCACGATGTTTCTTCCGTGTGATATTGGGCGCATTCCTGTAAGAATTTCAAGAAATACAATGCCGAGGCTGTATACGTCACTCTTCTCTGTTAGCCTGTGGCTCAAGTAGTACTCTGGATCCACATATCCCTGTACCATACGTTTCAAGAATTAGTTACCTTCCCTTAGGGATTAGAAACAGAGGAATGTTAAAACAACAACATACAGGGGTGCCTTTGACGATGGTAGTTACATGATCCCTTTGTACTCCACCACCATCTAGTGCTATGAGCTTTGAGATCCCAAAATCTGCAACTTTAGGATTCATCTTGCTGTCTAGAAGAATGTTGCTTGGTTTTATATCTCGATGGATGATTGGTGGATCAGCTTCTGTGTGCAGATACAAAATCCCCCTCGCAGACCCGAGCGCTATTCCCAGTCTCAGCGCCAAACTTAACGGTTGTCTAAACCTCGCTGCAGTTTCACATTCATCTATCACAATCCTCCCACAACACTTTTATATATACACAAGACAAGGAAGGGATTACTTACCAGAGAGTGCGTCTAGAAGAGAACCGTTGGGCATGTACTCATACACCAACATCTGAAATTAGACATAACAAATCAACTCAAGACTATCTTGAAATTTTATAATGTTAAGAAGAGACTCACTTGTTCTCCTTTCTGATCACAGTAGCCAAGCAAAGAAACAAGGTTTCGGTGATGTAGCCGGGAAAGCAACTCGATCTCGGTGAAGAACTCTTTTTGGCCCTGCAGGGACCCTTGCTCTGCACGTTTGACCGCTACAACTAGACCACCTGGTAAATGGCCTTTGTAGACCTTCCCATAGCCTCCTCTACCAATCTGGGAGAGATCACTGAAACTGCTTGTTGCTGAATCAAGTTCCGTGAGAGTGTAACCCTTCACGCTCTCCATGTTAATTGGAGATTTTGGAACTAGGCCAAGGAGAATATGATGGAGAATAGCATTAGATATTTGTTTAAGGAAAACAAAGAGGTTGACTAAGTTTTCACTTACTAGGGTGTTCTTGTTCCATGTCAACTTCCTTAGTTTTTCTCTTTTGTTTGCTTCTCTTGATTAAGCAGAGCAATGCTACAGAGGACAATACAATGAACAAAGCAATGGCTCCTAAAATGATTCCAACTTTGCCGCCTTTGCTCATTCCCGATTTATCCGAGAATTTGATAGTAACTTCTGCATATACAATAGTAACATAAATACATACTCTTTTGATTCACAAAGATGAGTAGAAGATATATGTATTACCGTCTCTGTAAGCACCGGTGTTGATACTAATAATCTCGTAAGGGCCAAGGGAATCATCGGTATCCAGACTAAAAGTTGCAAAGAAGTCCACAATACGTTGAACCTCTGTGGTGTTAAATTTACTGTTTAATTCACTGTACTCCGGAAAAATCTTCATGTTCATGGATAGTCTTGGACCCGATTGCCATGCGAATGATTCAATAGATATCTGATACGCGTTTATCCCGAGATTTTTCGGGGATGCCACATCGAGCATGTAGGAGACTTTGTAAGGTCTAAAGTCAGAGAAACTTGGACTCCTAAGACGAAGTTCAATACCAAGTGGTGCAGCACAAAAACATGCAACTGGAGCCCCAATCACGTAGTCGTAGTTTTCGCTTACGGGGCAAGATTGGCGTTTGCAGTCTCCTGTGGTGGTGTTTTCCGAAGAAGTTGCGGGGGATTCCACTTCTAACGTTGAGACGCCACATAGATCAGCTAACTTACCCGCATTAACATTTGCACAAACCGGGTTTCCGTTAAGCCTGCCCATCAAAACAGAGTTCTCTCATTTCTCTATTCAAAATCCCAAATTATTAATCTTTTGTTTAGTTGTTATTTTTCTTAAAACATAATTTTACTTGACTGTGACATTGGACGGAGGGTTTAGAAGAACGCTTGACACATTTGAAAACATGTTGTTCCTCAAGTCCCTGCAAGTTAATCCAATCAAAATCAATTAACATATACTATTCTTGTTTTAAAAGCATTGTTCTCTAGGGTTTTGTAAATATGACGTGTCTTACAAGATAAGTTTTTCCTCTGCCTTAAAACTCCTATTGTCCCATATCACAGGAATCTCCCCACTTAAGTTGTTGTTCTGCACTTGCCTGAAAATTTAAAACAAAACTCTTGTGTTTTATGTTTTCTTCCTTAAAACAACATTTCTCCTTTGATTAATTAAGAAAAAAGAAGAGCAAAAGATAGTCTAATTACAGTCTCTGTAACCGTGGAAGGCCTGAAAAATTTGTAGGGATGGATCCATTGAGCATATTGTTGTACAAATTACTGCATATAGTGAAAAATTCATGTTTGTCAACAAAAATGTAACGAAATATCAATAATATTCCATTTCTTGGCTTGGCACTTACATAGTTGTGATGTTTGCAGAGAACTTGTTCTTGGGAATTTCTCCAGTGAGTTTGTTGGAGGAAATATCTCTGAAGCATCAAAAGAAACGTCTCGTTAAACGACTAATATTACATGGATTGTTAATGTTAATGGTTTCGTCTATTTAAAGTGACTCACAAGTAATAGAGTACCGGTGCTTTGCTCAAATCAGGAATTGGTCCTTGTAGGTTGCAGTTTCTGAGACTCCTGTTTATGTGTGACCAATAAAATCAGTATGCTACAGGGAAAACAAAATAATCTACTATGTTTTGTTTCTTACAGTTTGACGAGATTTGGTATCGATCCGTAAGAAGATGGGATCTCTGTGCCATCGAAGTTGTTACCGTCCAATTGTCTGTAAACGAAGAAGCAAACTAAGTTGAATGTGGAAGAAGGTTATTTTTCTTGATAAAGAAGTTGAAAGACACAAAAAGGCACATACAGAATTCTCAAGCTTGGCATCTGAGAGAGCTCCGGTGGAAGATTTCCAGTTAGCTTGTTATTGTCCATCAAGCTGCACAAGTTAAGCCACACAATAAAATCCTGATGATCAGATTTGAATAAGATAAAACATATTTATAGGTAACCAAGAAACTTACAAGTGCAGAACACTGGTTAAGGAAGAGTACTCGGGGGGAATCTGACCCGTGATTGAGTTGTTGTTCATGTGACTAGCAAAGAAAGTACATGTTATATCAGAAGGGTTTGAAGGAAGAGAGAATAGAAGTAGGATATATGGAGATCTCACAAATGTTTCAGGTTTTTCAGATTTGCCAACGACGTTGGAAGTTTTCCGCTAATATCATTGTAGTCTATCTGAAGGATTCGGAGATTGGAAAGAGAACCAAGTTCTTGAGGCAAAGATCCTGTCAGTTGATTTCCACTTAATAGCCTAACAAAAGAGAAGAACATAAATCTTTTTAAGTGAAGCATCCATGAATGGGAAATATTGATGAAACAATGATCAAGACTACTTACAAGAAGATTAGATGAGTCAAGTTTCCTAGTTCTGCTGGAATCTCACCGGTGAGATCGTTCCACATGAAGTTCCTGTGATCATAAAACATAAAAAGGTTTTATTTCAAATTTTATTTCAAAAACCAGAGCATGCACAGAGAAAAACACAGAACATACAATATGGTGAGATTTGATAGTAAGCCAAGTTCAGGTGCCAGTTGTCCGGTGAGGTTCATGTTTAGCAACCGCCTGCATCATTTTGATCAAACCATATGACATCCTCAAGGTTTGGTTTTGGAGTTTAAAAAGATAGTAGAAAGTTTAAAACTTCGAACGTACAACTCTTTAACATGAAGAAAGCCATCTGTAGGATCAGGGATGCAGATAACACCGGTCCAATTAGAGGCGCATGGATCCGTCTTTTTCCAGTCTTGAAGATGATTCAGAGGGTCCTTAAGTTTGCGGTGAACATACTGCAGAGCACTAACTGCAACAACAACAACAAAAAACACTCATTAGCATCACTGTTCACACATAGACACTGCTTCGAAAATTATAGAGGACCGTACCATCAGTCGGATGAGTAATCTCTTGAGCATCCAGCAAAGACAAGCAAGAAGAAGACAAGACCAGAATGACTCCAACTACACGCATCATCTCTTTCATCTTATTTTCTGCTTTGTTTCAATAACAGATCACTATTTATCTTGCTTAGAGATGACCTTGAAATGCTGAGAAAAAGTCGTAAAATACATACTTGAAGAAGGAACACTATATATATGGAAGTTGAAGCAACAATGACTTAAAAAAAAAAAACTCAAAATGTAACTATCAATAACACCTAGTTGGTGGTTTTGTTGCCATATTTAAATGTGATAATTGAGCGTGGACGCGGTTAAAAGGCAATTATCGGTTTGTTCAACTCTCTTCCCCCATTGGATTGGAGGAATAAAATCAGAATAGCTGACTTCTTCTGTGTTCCTGCAAGTTACTGCTTACTTTTTCTCTTATGAAAAATTCAAAACTTACATATAAAACAGAGATGACATACAACTTCAACCATATCCATCTTCAACCGTTATCATTAGTTTATTTCTTATAACCAAGTTGCCTAGTTTTATTTCCTTTATACATAGTGACACAGAAACTACATTTTCTTCTTTTGTCTATAAAGATAGAGTTTTACTAATGAGGATAATTTAATTTGTATAGAAATGAACCATCTTGACTTATTCAGAGAAAATCAGGAAAAACTCGGAACCATCTTGACTTGTTCAGAAAATTAGTAAAATAGTGACATGTTTTTGTATGATATAATTATCTAGTGGAAATTGAAAGTTGCACATTAAATTGGAAATATGAACATTGATATCAATAATAAGAACACATCAAACAGAGATTTGAGTTGACAAAAGATGTTTATGTAAGTTTTTAAAATATTAGTGATGTATTATTGATTAAGAATCTAAGATATTAAAATGCATCCGTTGACTCTGTCCATTTGCCATAATATATTGACAAGGTTTTCATTTCTCAAATCACCATGTCATATGTTTATAAGCATTACTGTATAATAATCAAGAACCAGTAGTAGTAGTAGTCCATAGAAGTTACCTCTTTATAGCCATAATCTGCCTAAAAGTTGTGACCAGGAAAAGGAGCCGTCTCCCAGATTGACGGTGTGGCGCGTTATCCTTTGTTATGTCAACATCAATATTAGCTAGGATTATATAGTAGCTTCAGACATAATATAGAATTGGGAAAATTAACTAATCAAGTACCCGCAAAGTGTCGTCCTTTCGGAAACAAGATGTTTTAGATACTGTCTTTGCATACCTTGTGAACAACAATCTTGAGAGGACAAACCTTGTGTACAGATTAGAAACAAGAAGCATAATAACTGCAGAAGAGTCTTTGAGTGAAGTGTTTTGAAAACTGAGTACATTGCAAAAAATCAAGATAACAACTTGTAGTACTTGTTTCTTTACAATTTTCTCCCACCAAGGAAAACTATACATCAAAAACTAGTTTCTGGAGAATTTGAGATTGTATAAAAGTCCCTAAGGCTCAGGTAGGTTCAGCCAATCAAACTCATTCTCTGGCAGCTCTTTAACCATTTCATCAACTCCTCTCTCAACAATCACGTTGATTCTCCACAACACAATTTTACTTTCCCATTTCATGCCTTTGATTGCATAGAGTCTCCAAAGCAGACCCTTAACCAATTTGTACTCGCTTGTATCATACCATCGCAATTGTTTCTTCACAATGCTTTCCACATCTCTGAAAGCTCTCCTCACAAGTCCAACTTCCATTCCTCGTTCCACAAGCTTTCTCACTGAGTCTATCATCTTATGTGCAATCTCCTTTAAGGATTCAGCGTGACTTGAGATCTCTATCAAGTGAATTGCTGCAAAGAAGGCACCCGTAAACGCCAAAACCCAGCAACTGTTATCTACCAACAACTCTGTTGGTGGAGTTAGCCTTGTACTTATCTCTGGGAGAAGAACTTCAATCACAGGAATGAGAAACTCCTCATTTTCAAGTGGCATTGTTAAGCACTGGAAGATATAAACCGCTCTCTTGAACTCTGTTTTACTCGATGCAATATAGTTGCGTAAAGCATACCATGTAACATCTTGGTGTTTGAAGATCTCATACGCAACGTGACTCACCACCTCACCTAAGACTTTGAACATGCTGTCTGTGATTCCTTCTTGCCGAAGGCAAGAGTTAAGCAATGGCTGGAGTTCTCTCATCTCTGAAAAGTCTATTTCCACTCTCTTTGAAGTGTGATCAGAGAGCACAACTTCGAGTCGTCTGATAGCCATCTCTCTGGTCCTATCTTCAAGATCAGTTGCCGCAAAGATTTTCAAAACTTCAAGTGATGATAAAGTATTCAAATGATCAAACTTTTCTCCATGATCTTGATTTCCCGGTGTGTTAACCAACGGATTGATCTTCAAACGGCTATGTTTTCCTGCTCGATTTCCCGGTGTTTGAACCAACCGATTGATCTTCTTTAAAACCTCCTTACTCTGTGTTCCAAAACGTTTGATCCTAAACATGAAAGCCATCACGAAATGACATTGTTCCTTATTGTAATTATACAGATTCTTGTCTACTTCCAAGAACTTCTCAAGATGTTCAAGCCCTTGTACCAAAAACTGTTCCTTCCCCTTCTCCACTAGCTCCTTCACTGACTTCCCAAGAATAGAAAGAAGATTCTCTACCATTTTCACATATCTCATATCTTTATACGAAATCTGAATCCCCATTTTCACAACAGTTTCTAAAGCCAAGCTCCAATCTTCAACATTAATTTTCACAGGATCAAGCAAAACTTTCTCAGCTTTCTCTAAAAGTTTGTGCATAAACTTGTCGATGAAAATCTTGTAGACTGGTGGCAAATCGATGAAGACATGAAAAGCCTTGACAGGTTCGTTATCTGCTAGCCAGAGGATACAATCACTAAGCTCGAACCATCCACCATTATTGCAAGTCACAACATTGTAGGTTATTAAAGAAACGATTCTTCGTAGGTACTTCATGTCAGATTTTTTGGTTTCTTGCATCGCAAGGCATTCAATCACAAGAGGTTTGATTTCATGGAGAGCGACGCGAGAGAGTCTGAATTCGGCGAGGGTTTCAGAGAGGAGATATATCGTGTGGAATCTGATTACGCCATTGGAAGAATATCGATATAGTTTGAGGAACATTAGGGTTAAGCAATTTGGGAAAGTATCAGCGCAGAAATTGAAGAGAGCAAACGCAGTTTGATATTCGTTGGTTTCTTGAGGCATTGAGAGTTGTGTGACGAGAATCTCTGCTCCTTCATGGCTTGGAGTCGCAAGAAGTTCTCTTGCTTTAAGATTCAAAGATTCTTCCATTTGCCAGAGAAAATTTTGGTCTTGTTTTGAAGATGATGCAGTGGGAGAGAGTTTGCGTTTATTATTTGGAACTGAATATAAACCGGACTTAACCGCTACTTAGCGAAAACCATTCGGTTCGATTTTAATTAACCACAATTATATCTAAATTGACCCGGACGTAAATTAGTCCCAACAAATTGAGATTTAAACTTTCATTTATGGTCTAACATTTTGATTGACTTTAGTTAAACGTGATGGTACTCGATGTCCTTGGCCTGACAAGTGACACCGTTTGCATTGTGTGGAGAAGACTCGAATCGCTTCTCATACCGAATTTTGTTGATCCCGGTGTGACATGACTATCCCTATGGACTCTCACGGAGCTTTTCTTGTCTTCCTAACCTCTGATCCGAAAAACATAAGCTGCCTATGCAAGAATAGCACCCGCATGACAAATCAACTTCTCAATGTACCACTCCTAAGCAGTTCACTGTGTTATTTATAATCCAACCCACTGGCCACTAGCCACTTTTTCGGAACGCTACCCCGGACCATAACAATGCAGATATTATAATAGTCGCAAAAGATGATATGATGATAAGAGAACATACTATAAAGAAACGACCAGAATCAAAAAGGTAACTGCAGATTGAAAGCATCCGATATTAGGACGATCTCTGCCTCCCAATTGAGCATTTCCATAGCGTGTTTGATCCTAAACCAAGTAGTACAGTTCATAATCTGTATATTTGAATAAGTAAGTACTCACATGTACTTGTCATGGCATTGGAATTAACAAATTACAGTGAATTTACATCTCTCATCTCCATAAGGATGTAAAAGAAATCTGTATGCCTTGTAAGAAACTTTATATTGTAACTATTGTGGGTTTATGATATGTAGTCTACAAAAAATCAGAAGGACCTAAGCCACTACCGAAGAACCAAGACCGATACTTGTTTCTGTACAATGTTAATTCTTTCTACAACTGCAAACTATATATCAAAAACCATAATCTGCAAGCAGAATTTCAGACTGTACACATCCCTCACCCTCAGGTAGGTTCAGCCAATCAAGCTTACCCTTTGGAAGCTTTTTAACCTCCACATTAACTCTTCTATCCACAATCACGTTGATTCTCCACAACACGATCTTACTTTCCCATTTCATGCCTTTGATTGCATAGAGTTTCCAAAGCAGACCCTTAACGAATTTGTATTCGTTCGTTCCATACCATTCCATTTGTTTCTTGACTATGCTTTCAAGATCTCTAAAAGCTCTCCTAACAAGCCCAACTTCCATTCCTCTTTCCACAAGCTCTCTAACAGAATCTATCATCTTATTTGCAATCTCCTTAACGGATTCAGCTTGACTTGGGATCTCTATCAAGTGAATGGTCGCACAGAATGCACCAGTAAACGCCAAATCCCAGCAACTGTTATCTACCAACAAGTCTCTTGGTGGATTTAGCCTTATTCTTATCTCTGGGAGGAGATTCTCCATCACATGAATCACAAAATCGTCATCTTCAAGCGGCGTTGTCAAGCACTGGAAGATATAAACCGCTCTCTGAAACTTTGTTTTGCTATGCGATGCAATATAATCGCGTAGACCATCCCATGCGACATCTTGGTGTTTGAACATCTCATACACAACGTGGTTCACCACCTGACCTAGTACTTTGAACATGCTGTCAGAGATTCTTTCTTGCTTAAGGCAAGAGATGACCAATGGCTGGAGTTGTCTCATCTCTGCAATGTCTATATCCACCTTCTTCGAAATGTGATCAGAGAGTACAACTTCAAGTCGTCTGATTGCAATCTCTCTGGACCTATCATCAACAACATTTGACACAAAGATTTTCAAGATATCAACTGATGACAAAGTCTTCAAATGGTCAAACAAGCCACGCTCATATTCTTCTCCATCATCTTGATTTTCTCGAGGTTTCACTTTCACGACAGGTTTGCTTGCTGCAATGTCCTGTGTTTTAAGCAACTGAGTGATCTTCTTTACAATCTCTTTACTCTGTGTTACGAAATCTTTGATCTTGAACATGAAAGTCATCACGAAATGACGTTGTTCCTTATTGTAATTATACAGATTCTTGTCTCGCGACACGAACCTCTCAAGATGTTCAAGCCCTTGTACCAAAAACTGTTCCATTCCCTTCTCCACTAGCTCCTTCACTGACTTCACAAGAGTATTTATAAGATTCTTTATCAAATCAACTCTCATCTCTGTATCCAAAATCTGAATCCCCATTTTCACAACAGTTTCTAAAGCCAAGCTCCAATCTTGAACTCTATCTTTCTCAGGATTAAGCAAAACCTTCTCAGCTTTCTCAACAATTATCTTCATAAACTTGTCAATGAAATTCTCATACACTGATGGCAAATCGATAAAGATATGAAAAGCCTTGACAGGTTCGTTTTCTGCTAACCAGAGGATACTATCACTAAGCTCGAACCATCCACCATTATCGCAAATCACAACATAGTAGGTTATTAAAGAAACGATTCTTCGTAGATACTTCATGTCAGATTCTTTGGTTTCTTGCATCAATAAGCATTCAATCACAAGAGGTTTGATTTCATGTAGAGCGATACGTGAGAGTTCCAAGTTACGAGTTCTGAAATCAAAGAGAGATTCAGAAAGAAAACAAATCGAATGAGATCTGATATCGCCATTGGAAGAAGATCGGTAGACTTTGAGAAGCATTAGGGTATAGCAATTTGGGAAATTAGTAGCGCAGAAATTCAACAGAGCAAACGCAGATTCATATTCGTTGAAGTCTTGAAACATTGAGAGTGTTTCGACGATTTTCTCGAGTCCTTTGTGGCTTGGAGTCGCAAGAACCTCTCTCGATTTCAACATGAGATTCGAAGATTCCTCCATTGTTGGTTCTTCGTCTCCAGGAACTTCTGGAAAAATGGGTTTAAGGGTTGAAGAAGATTTCTAATGAAAGTGAATATAAACCGGACTTAACCGTAATTTAAGTTAAATCGTTCGGTTTGATTTTAATTTACCCTACGTCTCTAACCTAATCTGGTGGCCACGTTCTTAACCCGCGCCTTTTAATTATTTTGGATTTCAAACAGTGGGCCTAAAATGTCTGAGTAACAAATTTTTTTTTGATAAAATGTGAAATTAATTGATGAGAATAGAGTTATTTACGACAAATGAAAAAATTAGACAGAAAGAGAAACAAAGTGAAAACATTGGGAAGTAAAATAGAGCAACAAGCTGCTAATGATTTTGCCTTGAGCTAAACCACCTTTGGATCAACCCTCGTAGCTTCCTATTCTCGAAGTATCGTAAAGACACGATTCTCGAACGTATAACTCTCTCAATCGTACGGGCTAGTTGGGAGTGCATACGATATAGCTTGTTGTGCCTTCTCTCGTTTCGTTCCCGCCATAGATAATATATGGTTGCTTGGAAACACAAGCGGAGAAGAATGTAGTCATACCTCGCATATGGATGAGTGATTAGCCGCTGAATTGTCTCAGCCCAATCAGGATCTTCAGCCCAAATGAGGATCCGGCTCAGTTCGCAACAAGTCACCCACAACCTGAATTCACACAATGAACGAATAAGGGCATGCAAAAAATAAATGATCTCGAGTTTCATCAGGTTCTCCACATAAGAGACAAGATTGGTTGTCTCCCCATGCTCGCATCCGTGAACCAGTGGTAAGCCTATCCCTGATCGCCAACCAAGTGATAAAAGCAAACCAAGGAACTGTTTGCGGGAACCATATAACCTTACTCCACTCCTTAGTATCCCCGCGAGATCGCAGCTGGTCTCATGTACTAGCCGCAGCATATTCAGGCCGGAAATCGTTTGGAGAATGTCTCCACATAACCTTATCGATACCTGCTTCTCTGTTTGGTACCTTAAGACCCCGAATGCCCTGGATCACTTCTATTAAATTTATGTCCCGACAACGTCGAAAGCGCCTCCCCGTATCATTAACCACCTCGGAGACCTTAGCAAATTTAGGGACACCAAGTTGATAAAACCCAGCGGTCCCAATAATATCTACCAGCCGGCCTATAGGGAGCCATCTATCAAGCCAAAAATAAGTATTGCTGCCATTACCAATCTCATTACGCGTAAACTCCGCAACAAGTGGCCATATCTTAAGTAATTTACGCCATTGTCTGAGTAACAAATTGAAGTATTATAAACATGATAAAACCCATAACTAATTAAGAATTTTTAATTATTAGGATTGATTTTTTTTTAAAGTTAAATGTATCCAAAACACTAACCGTGTGTTACACGGTTTTTATCAATACTGTACATCTCTTTTTTAAAGTTATAAATTTAGTCAATTTTATTGTAATTATATGTAAATACTATGTTGAATTTTAGTAAAATCAATTATGAATTTTTGTATTAAGAGTTTAGATTTGGAATCTCAAAAATATGTTTTTAATGATTCACTTATAATAATAAAATAAAAATATTTAGTCTAATGGTTAAAATATGCTTTAGTTATATAAAAAGTTTCATAATCCAGAATTTAGTTTTAGTTTATTTTATATTTAAAAATTAATTAAAGATAAGTCGAAACACATTTTGAAGAATAATTTAGTGATAGACTAGTTGTGACTTTAACAAAAAAAAATAAACATAAAAGTTAGTTACAAATTTACAATTTTGTTAAAATGATTACCGACAGAAATTGTATCACAATTCTTTTAGATAGATCACTGAGAATAACACAAATCAAAGAGAAGACACAATATCTTACTTTAATCAAAAGTATATGAGAAAATTACACATTATATGTTTTAACTAGCACTTGTCTTGATCCTGTTAATTCGAATTTTGATACGTGTCATATTTAATTTAATTAAAAATTTCAAACTTTATATAATAGGATACACTAAATTTAATTAGTTTAATGTTTAACTTTCATCTCATTTATCTATTATATATATATATATATATCCTCAAATCACCTAAGTTAATCTTTAATTTTACTAAACTACTATTATTATGTGAGCTAAATTTTGGATATCAATTACTATCATCTAATAACAGTTGAATTTCTATTAGGCATTCCTAACAAAGAAAGCATCTTCTGCTTGCTAAAGTAGCTAATAGTGGAAATGAACTGTATAATAAAGGTCAAGATCCTTTCACAACATACTTTTAGAGCCAAGTTTTGGTCATTTCAAATTCTCAAATCTACCAAACTTGGAAGACTTGGTTCAAGAAGAAACTTGGACTTGATTAGAAAGAATTCTCATACCTTTTGGTAAGTGCCCTATAAAACAATAACACGGCTCATTTGTTAATGATTTAAAGAAGTTTTATATAAAGTTTTCCGTCATACAATAACTGTACAAACCATATTCTTCTCTAGTCTACAAAATAACAAGCTGAAAGAAACGATATTGTTTTACATATCAATAAATAAATTAATTAATTAGTAATGATTTATAAAAATAAAACTATTAAAATTATTATTTTACTCGATTAATTATATTTTGATAATTTTAATTATAATTTTTAAATGAATTAAATTTATGTACCGACAGGTATTTGTCGATTCATTCTCGCAGACAGTTCTCCATCGTGAAGTTTTTCTTTCCGATCATCATTTGTCTCAAAGACATTCCTTAAGTTTGCCGGAGATATTCAGAAGACATTGTCAAACATCTAAAAATTTTGTCAAATATTAGTAGACTCTGCTAAATATTAGTAAATACAGCCAAATTTTTGTATACTTTACCAAATATCCA